CTGCCCAGGCAGGTCTCGAATCCACGGGCTCAGGCAATCCACTCACCTCAGCCTCCCAAAAGCACGGGATTACAGGCTGAGCCACCGAGCCAGCTTATCTGTTTTTCTTTTGTTGCTTATGCGTTTGATGTCATATCCAAGCCCAATCCAAGGTCATGAAAATTTGTTCCTGTTTTTTCTTCTAAGCACTTTATAGCTTTTCATTTTACCTTTAGTTCTTTGGTGCATTTTGAGTTAATTTTTTCATATGGTGTGAAGAAAGGATGGATTAAGTATTTACGTATAAAAAGCAAAGCCATAAAAGTAGTAGAAGAAACGGCTCGGTGGCTCAGCCTGTAATCCCAGTGCTTTGGGAGGCTGAAGTGAGTGGATTGCCTGAGCCCGGGGGTTCGAGATCTTGCCTGGGCAACTTGGCGAGACTTCATCTCTACAATAAATCAAAAATTAGCCGGGTGTGGTAGTGCACGCCTGTGGTTCCAGCTACTTGGAAGACTGAGGCGGAAAGGATCGCTGGAGCCCAGCAGGTCGAGGCTGCAGTGGCCGGGAGCGTGCCCCACTGCACTCCAGTCTGGGTGACAGAGTGAGACTCCAACTCAAAAAAAAAAAAAAAAAAAGTAATAGAAGAAAACATAAGTAAAATTTTTTTAATGTTTGGGTAGATTTTCTGTGCACGAAACCAAGGCAGGAAGTGTAGAAAAAAGCAACAGATTGGGCTATATAAAGGTAAAATTTTTAAATGCTTAATTACAAAGATGAAAGGAAAAAGACCTGGGAAGAAATATTTGCATGAATAAAGCTGTTTAAGGTAAAATATTATAGTGGCTATGTGACTTTTTAAAATCCTAAATTTAGCATAATATTTGGGAAGTAGAATTACTTTTAGGCCTTCTAACTTAGATCTAGATTACATTCAAAGACTTGGTTCTTAAGGCATGAAAATTTTTCACCAGGGTTTTTTGTTGTTGTTTAGGGAGTAAACTCTCGAAATCCTCGAAGACCTCCACCTAGTTCTGTAAATACAGGAGGTATCACAGAGATCATGGCAGAAGGAGGTGAATTAGAGTTTGTTAAAAGGATCATTCATGACAGTTTACAACTTAAAAAAAGATTAAGGTAAGTTTGTTATTATAACATGGAAATATTTTTCCCCATGTCATTCCAAAAGAGACCATGTCATTCTGAGAAAAAGTAATCATAGTGGTCAGAAGAATAAACAGATGAAGATTGAAAAGGTAGTGGATCCTACAATCTGCAAAGACCCTGTTTCTGAGGATGTTGTCATGGCTTTAATTGATTTGGTTTCTTGTAATTATCTATATTACATAGATAGAAAAGAGGAAAATACCATATGATTGTATTGCTCCCATTAGTATTATCCTGTGATGGAACAAAACTGATTCAAATATGGCTTTTGATTAGAAAACAGATGGGTTCAGATTTGTCTCATGAACCAGAATAAATTTGTTGCCTAATCCTTGAAGCAATTTATGTTCTTGGAATCAGTCTCCCAAACAGTGACAGATGTGAGGACATTGAGCTGTCAAGAACTTAATGAAGGGAAACTGAGATCACTAAGCAGTTCCAGAGGAGGCTTAAGGCTACAGTATTCCTTTTAAAATCTAATTATTTCGGACAGCACACCTGTCATTAAACAGCATAAGGTACTCAGAAGAGCTATTTGTCTTGCTTGACTTCTCACCCTGCCACATGTTGTTGAAATGATGGATAATGTGGTAGTTCAAAACTACATGAGTTTTCAACTCTAGGATTTAGCTTTGGTACATAGGGAAGATTTTGTGAGCGGTAAATACACATAACATAAAATTTACATCTAAAAAATTTATTTTTTTGAGGCAGGGTCTCTCTCTGTTACCCAGGCTGAAGTGCAATGGCATGATTATGGCTCACCACAGCTTCGACATCCTGAACTCGGGTGGTCCTCTTGCCTCAGCCGTCTGAGCAGCTAGGACTATGGGTGTGTGCTACCATACCTTGCTGATTTAAAAAAATTTTTTTAGTAATGTGGGTCTCACTATGTTGCCCAGGCTGGTCTTGAACTGGGCTCAAGTGTTCTTCTCTCAGCCTCCCAAAGTGCTGGGATTACAAGCATGGGCTACCCCACTCTGCCCACCATCTAAATTTTTTAAGTGTATAGTTCATTAATGTTAAGTACATTCACATTGTTGTGCAACCAACCTCCAGAACTCTTCATTTTGCAAAACTATAACTTTGTGCTCATTTAACAAATCCTCGTGGTGGCTATACATCCATGTGTATCTTGTATCAGAATTTTCTTTTTTTTTAAGGCTGAATAATATTACCATTCCATGGTATGTATATACCACATTCTCCCACTGCCTTACCTTCTGGCAACCACCATTCTACTTTCTGTCTCTAAGCATTTGACTACTCTAGGTACCTCATATAAGTGGAATCATTCAGCATTTGTCCTTTTGTGACTGGCTTATTTCACTTAAAATGTTTTCAAGGTTTGTCACGTGTAGCTTGTATCACAATTTTCTTCCTTTTTAAGGCTGAATTACATTACCATTCCTGGTATGTATATACTACATTTTGTTTATACACTCATCCACTGATGAACATTTAGGTTCTACCCTTTGGCTGTTGTGAATAATGCTGTATGAACATGAGTCTGTAAATATCTCTTCAAGACCTTATTTTTAATTCTTTTGAGTATATACCCAGAAGTGGAATCCTGTATAGGTAGATTTATTTTTCCCTTTTTTTTGATTTATAGATGCTTATAGCTGCTTATTTTAGTAAAAGACCAATTTCAAAATCAACAAGTATCCTAATTCGTTAAATGTGAGTTTGTTTGTTATGAGTTTATTTATTTATTTATTTATTTATTTATTTATTTTTAGAGTTGGAGTCTCACTGTCACCCAGGCTGGAGTGTAGTGGCACTATTATGGCCACTGCAGCTTCAGCCTGCTGGGCTCAGGTGATCCTTCCACCTCAGCCTTCCAAGTATTCCAAGTAGCTGGAACCACAGATGTGTGCCACCACGCCCAGTTAATTTTTTGATTTGTTGTAGAGACGAGGTCTTGCCAAGTTGCTCACGCTGGTCTCAAACCCGTGGGCTCAGGCAATCCCTTTGCCTCCATTCCCCAAAGTGCTGGGATTACAGGTGTGAGCCTCCTCACCTGGTGTGCCACCATGCCTGGTGTGAGTTTATTTAAATGTTTGTGGAAAGTAGCTTGATTGTTAGATGGTCTGCCTCTCAGAAAACTTACACATTGTTGAAGCTAAAGGTTGATACATTTTTGCTTTTTTTTTTTTTTTTTTAGTGGAACCTCTCTGTCACCCAGGCTGGAGTACAGTGGCACACTCACGGCCATCACAGTCCTGACCCGCTGGGCTCAGGCTATCCTTCTGCTTCAGCCTTCCAAGTTAGCTGGAACAATAGGCATGTGCTACCAAGCCCAGCTAATTTTTTTTTTTTTTTTTTTACTTGTAAAAACAAGGTCTTGCCAAGTTGCCCAGACTGGTTGAACCCCTGAGCTCAGATAACCCCCTTCCCCCACCTCCCAAGTGCTGGGATTATAGATGTGAGCTACCGTACTGGCCATTTTTACTGTAAATTTATTTCTTCAAAGATGCATGAATATCTTGAAGAAGAAAGAAACTAAAATTATACTAAGCATGGAGAATAGTTTGAGTAAGTAAAATAAACTTAAATACAGTAACAGAACACTGAAACCCATGAGAAGAGGTAACTAGGCCATGTGACCATTTCATTATCTGTTGTTTTTTTGAGGAGATTGGAGCCAATTAGGAAAATGAGTAACTGTAGTTGATTCTTTAGGCTATAATATTCTGGGGTTGTTGTTAGGAGGCTTTTAAACAGTAAATTTCTGTTATGTTCAAAGTTCTATTTGACCTACAAAAATATGTCTTAAAGAAACACCATTCTAAGGCATAGAAATTAATTCAATATATTTCTCATCTCCCTGTACCTGGCTCTGTGGCAGGCCCAAATTGAACAAAAGGTACAAGCTTACAAGGAAAGGTAAATTGCAAGAGCCCATCATGTCTCTGGAGAGTTGACCATTTTGAGTTTGGTATCATATATGGAAAATGTTACCCAGTTATGATTTATTTAAAAACAAGTTTCAGCCAGGTTCAGTGGGCCATGCTGCTAATCCCAACACTTTGGGAAACTGAGATGGGAAGACTGCTTAAGGTCAGGAGTTGGAGACCAGCGGGGACAACATAGTGAGACCCCTGTCTCTACCTAAAAAATTTTAACAATTACCTAGGTATGGTTATGCACACCTATAATTCTAGCTACTGGGAGGCAGAGGCGGGAGGATTGCTTGAGCCCAGGAGTTTGAGGCACCTCTACATTGCGGCCTGGGTGACAAAATGAGATGATATTTTTTTTAATTGAAAAAAATTTTTTGTAAATATTGTAAAAAGGGTAAACTGTCTGCTCTGTTAGGACTAGGCAGGTTAAGATGGAAGGTAGAAGAAGGGAAGAAATGAAGTTATTTTTATTGAAAATAGAAAGAACAATGTTTTATGAAAGAGTATTTCTTGCAATTATGGTTTTCAATTTTACATCCTACCTTGACTACTTACATGTGTTCACATACCGGTTTATGTCCTCATGCTTATTTTTATTGTTGACATCATAATGTTTCTACTACATGTGACTCAAATTTTAGAATACTGTGAAAACTGCATATTAAAAAAACTGCATATTTTGAAGCTCTAAAAAAAAAAAAGATTTTAAACAAGTACCTTAACCCTACCATCTGTTTCTTATCCCTCTAGAATGTTTTCCTTCTTGTGTCTGAAGAAATGCAGAAACTAAGCAGAATTTGCAACATTATGGGGTGAAATAAGTTAAATTTGTTGGACTGATCACAGGATGACACTCATGATGCCTCACCTCCCCTGTAAGATTCATGTCTCACCTAAGTCATGCTCAGCAGCAATTACAATATTGTTTGGTATTTTAAAGAGTTTTGCAACCGGAACAATCTTGGGAGGCAAAGCCATCCAATTCCTTAGTTTTAGAGATTAGAGATTTGGAAGCTAGGTCTCCTGGTTTTAGTGTGCCATCCCTTGCAGTCTCTGCAGCTCTAAGTGACGTTGGACTTCTTTTTTGTGTGTTTTTGAGTCGGAGTCTCACTTTGTCATCCAGAATGAAGTCCAGTGGCATGCTTATGGCCACCACAGCCTCAACTTGCTGGGCTCAGGCAATCCTTCTGCCTTAGCCTTTCAAGTAGCTGGAATTGTAGGTGCTTACTACCGTGGCCCGCTAATTTTTTTGATTTATTGTAGAGATGAGGTATTGCCACGTTGTCCAGACTGGTCTCGAACCCTTGGGCTCAGGCAATCCTCTTGCTTCAGCCTCCCAAAGTGCTGGGATTATAGGCATGCGTCACCATGCCCAGCGTGGCGGTTGGGCTTCTATGTGAACAGCCTTCCTATCGTTGATGAAGATTTACAAGTGCTTGTCACCCTTGCTTTTTGTGTCTGTGACTTGAGCTTATTGAATAGCATTTTTTTCTTAAAAAAGGATTCACTCATCTAACCTTTTAGATAAATTACCAGACATTCTTTATCAAACTCCTCATGGCCTGAATTCTACTCTTAACATTGGTTATTAGTTCTATAGCTGATGCCTTTTATGGTAGTGATTTTGTGATTTTTTTCCCCAGGAACCAGAGATCTGTATTTTACAACTTGATACTAGTTTCATCCATTCTTCTGTATCCCTCTTCCTGATCCCTACCCCCTACCAGATGGTAGATATTTCTTGAATTTGGGTGTAAGCCACATATTTGGAAATGGGCAATAAGTTTATTAATCTGGGCCTTTTGATATGATTCTTTGATATTTAAAATTTTGTTCCTCATTGGTCAAATAAGATGATAGTAGCTACCTCATAGAGTGGTCATACAATTAAGTAAATACATTTTTCTTTTTTTTTTTTCTTTTTTGAGTTGGAGTCTCACTCCGTTGCCCAAGCTGGAGCTCAGTGGCACACTCATACCACTCATCATCGACCCGCTGGGCTCTGGCCATCCTTCCATCTCAGCCTTCCAAGCAGCCAGAACTACAGGCATGCGCTATCAAGCT